CCATCCATCCATCCATCCATCCATCCATCCCTCTGAGTGTTATTTTACTCTGAAGTCAGAGTTTTACTCTCTATCCTTAGAGTTATACTATAATACCAAGAGGCCGTCCAATGGGCCACCAGGCTGACTGCATCCTTCTTCTCTGCACTCGTAGCTTTACAGGCCTGTAGATTTTCTCCTGTTTCTGTTTCTGCTCATTTTTCTCTTTGAATGTGAAACCAGCCTGTTAACACCATTCTGGTGTTTTAAATACTTTAAAAGTAGCTGCAGCTGTGCGTAAATATAAATTACGGTGACCAGACGTCTCTGGTTTCCCATTTTGGACCACCTGTCCCCAGCTAAAGCTGTCCTCGCAAATGTCCCAGATTTTACCGTTTTATCCATGAGGGGGGAGCTAGAAGCAGACACACCAAAGATACATCTTTTGTCATTACATGTTTAGATGAATGAAAGATAATCTCTCAGGGCAGAAGAATAATCTGGCCTTTAATAAAGTTATAGTGAAAGCTAACAGGAATATATTTTCTATTCATAGATGCAGCTGTGCTTTTTGTTTTAACTAAGCTGTTATTATGTTGATAGGATGTTAATGTAAAGATTATATGATCCTAGATATTCCTGTTACAAAAATCCACAACAAAAAGACAGAAACTGAACATCTGCTGGATCCTGATGGGGATTTTTTTTAATGGTTCATATTAAATGAAGCTTTTATTTCCGCATGTTTTGATCCCATGAATTTAATAATAATATAGCGCATGTTCTCCTCCAGCTCCAAGGAAGTCGGAGCACAGCAAGACGGGAGGAACAGCGCCGGCTGTAGGCTTTGCTTTGCGCAGGCGGTCTGCAGCAGAGCGGGGCAGGGCGGGGACAGAGGAGGGGGGATTTCAGGTTAACAGGGTAGCGGCGTCCAGCCGGCTGTGATAATAAACGTCCTCGTCTGTTTTAAAACTGGTTCCTCCTCATCTATGCGTACGTTAGCGGCTGTTTCTGTGCATAAC